ATGAAGCAACCAGTTATAGAAATAACCCATTTCAATAAGAAGGGGAACAGGAGTAAAGAGGACTCTCAGGTTTGATGATTTGGAAATATTTAGTAGAATATCTCATCATAACAGTATATTGAAAATTGAGCCGGTATAGAGAACTTACATTTGGGGGATTCCTGAGATATCTACATGAGTAACTACAATTGCATCATAGACTTTCTCTTCCTCCATATCTGTACAAAAACTGCAGAAAATTTACCAACTCAGCAACCATTAAATGAAGGGGGTATACCTTAAAGTTAAAAAAGAAAAAGATTTGTAGGTGCACAAAGACTTGACTTTCTGAAGCAGAACAGAGAAAAATGAGCGGGCTTACTTTCTAAACTTGTGCTGTCATTCACCAACCCATCTCAAGCTCTACTATTATTATTTCTAAATTCTAATTATTATTATTATTATTTCTATATTCTGATACTCTTATTAATATCCCTAAATTTGTGGAGAAGCAAACCTAGTATCTCCTTATTTTTTTCATTTTCTACTATATTTTAATAGAAATATCTACAAGAGAGACTGGTAAAATAAGAAAAGGCAAATTGTGGGGCTGACTCTTTTTTGATTAAAGTAAAGGCTCTAGAGATAGTAAGATGGGGAAGCTATATGATGTCTGAGGATATTTCCTTATGTGGATGAGATATAATTCTTACCTGGATGGAGTGGACAAAAACTCAGGACCTAAGCTTTCTAATGCAGCTTGTATCTTGATTTCCTCCACCAAGCTTATCTCTCTCACATCATCTCTTTGAGATGCAAAAAAGTAAACAGATGGTTAAATATTCTATCTTGAAGGAGAAACTGAGAATGTGGACTCAAATAGAGGAAAGAATGTCAAAAAGTCACCTATGCTATATCACAGAATGTCTATCAGAGTTATCCATGTCTGGACAACCAGGAAGGAAATGGCCTCGCCACTATGCAAATATATTACAGCCAGAGAGCTTATGCAATTTTCTTCAGGTCACAGAATTAAGATGCTAGAACTGGATTTAAACTCAAATAGTCTGACAAACCTGTGAAATGTGGATAGAAAACTATTTTGATTTACTAAATTATCTCCTAAATAAGATAAAGTTAGATGTCCAACTTTCAGGTAAATAATGTGAGGAGAGCCTCTTGTTCCTAATATAATAGCCTTAAGAAACATAAACTAGTCAGGATGTTTCCCAACCCAAAAAGTTTATTTCAAATATATTTTATTTTATTTTTCTTTAAAACTATAAGCTGGGTGTGGTGGCACATGCCTGTAATCCAAGCACTTCGGAGGCTGAGGCTAGCCTAAACAACACAGCAAGACCTTGTCTCAAAAAAACCAAATAAATAAATAAAGCATTAATTATAAGTACTATAATGTTTGCTATCTTCATTACTTTTCTCATTGCTAAGATAAAATACCCAACACCCACAAGTTAAAGGAGGAAAGCTTTATTTTAGCTCACAGTTTGTAGAGGTTTCAGTCCATAGTCAGCTGACTGCAAGGCAGGGTGGTGTGGCAGAGAGGCATGGCAGAAGAGAAGTAGACCATGGCAGGGCAGGCAGGAGACAGTGAAACAGCAAGCCTTGCTTTCTCTTTTTCAGTCCATCCAGGCTAGAAGCCTATTGGTTGGTGCAATAGTGTGGTTGCCTCACACTGAGAGTAGGGCTTCTATATTTAGTAAATCCATTTATCCACACCCAGGTTGTGGTCTTCCATTATCCACACCCAGAGCTGTGCTAAACCAACCAGTGGACTAATCTCATTATCACACCCTTAATCCAGTATCATACACCCATGATCCAGACAACTCCCCAAAGCCTCACCTATGAGCACATGAGGCTTTGGGGGGGACATCTAGATATAAACCATAACAGTAGCCAATTATAAAAAAGTTTTCTGTGATTAAATTAATATATCTAACATTGGACCACAGATGCAATCGGTTTTTTTCTTTCTTTCTTTGCAGTGCTAGGAATCAAACCCAGGGCCTCAGGTGTGAGGCAAGTGCTCTACCACTGAGCTACTTCTCCAGCCCCAGAGAAATAATGTTAAAGCATTAAAAGTATGTTTTTAATCTAGTCATGATAATTAACTAGCATATACCAATCTTGTGGCCTACAAACTGTGGTCCACATATATGATTTTTAGGGACTGATGATGCATCATTAGTTATTTGCAACCCACTCAATGTCCAGATGTGTACAGATTGGTGCAGTTTTATATAACCATCATGTTAATTCACTGCAAGGTGTTAACTCATCCGTAATAGGGAGAAAATAGTAACACCTATCTGTTAGGCTTCCTATGAAGATTAAATGAATAGTTATGATAGTTAATCCTGATACGTCAAATTCACTGGATTAAGAAACACCTACCTAGAGCCAGGGATCAAAGCTAAAAAAGGAAACTGGCCTAAGAGGGCAGCCAATAATTTGTTCCCTGCCCTGCAAGTTCAGCTAGGACCCAGGATGTGATAGGATCCCTCTAAAGGATCCTACAACTCTGGTGAGTTGCCCAACATCCTGAACAGGGAGATTGTTGGTACCTAGGGGACAGGAGGCAACTAGTGCACGTTGTGCTGAAAGGAGGGTCATTAAAGAGGGGAATGTCTCCATGCTTTCAAGGGAAGCCATTTGGTCAATCAAAAACCATGACCCATACTGGCAGATGACACAATTGGTGGAGAAAAAAACACTAAAATAGCTAAGATGCTCTTCCCAGGGCCTCAAAAATAACCTCTGAGGAGACTTAACTGACCTTGACAAATATATATAGAAATTAATTTTTATTAACACAGGTCTCATTTTAACTTGATCTTAAACCCTGAGGAGGGATGAATAAACAAATATAAGAGAGTGGATAATAGTAATATTAAATTAACAGCTAGGCTATAGATAAAAAGGGGGCTCCAACCCCTGCTGGCAGTCTCCAGCTGCATCTATAACTTATAGCCATAAAAAATTTTGATTATCAGTCTCACTAACTATGCCAAAAATGTGTCCAGTATTGGTCTAGGAGCAGTAGGATTAACTATCATAATCTTATCTGGATATTGAGCCCTTAGAAATATAAAGTATGGCCAGAGAACTGCTATTACTTTTTTAACCAGTTACAATTGTCTTCAAAGTCTTAGAATGTTAACAGATAACAGTTTTAAAGTTTTATAGGGAAAATTTAAAGTCAAGAGCAAGCACAGCATTTTAGTATAATAACTCCGATGACATTATATTAGAACCATTAGGTTCTTGTTATCTCAGAAGCACATTTAAATTTCCACTTTAATATAAAGTAACTTTTTAATCAATTATCTTTAGCTAATTACAAAATATTAAATGGCATAAACTCTCACCTAAATTTTTTACTTTTATATAAGAAAATGCCTTTCTAAGTAGAATGTACTTGTTTATTGATGTACTTTATAGTTTACTAATGTCCAATCTTTAGTCATTGGAGTGACATTGTTTGCACTGCATATTGTTTAGGCACATCTAGCTATTATAACACAATTACATTCCAGTCACATAAACATAAGCCTGAAAAAGTTCACCATCCTTAACAACTTTAGTCTGGAAGTCATCAGAGTGATAAGATGTTTTCCTAAGTTTTGTATCCTCAAAGGGTTGTACACTTGGGAAACACATATGCATTCAATATACCATGAGGTTAGCAATAATTAGCTAATAGAAATATTTATAATATTTACTTAGTTTTTACTTAAGGAAAAATTTAGATTCCTTTAACACATTTACTTGGTATCACCTCCAAAGGCTGATGTTCTCCACAGTGTCTCAGGACTGGATTTCCCATGTTGGTTGCAGGAGAAACTTTGCTTGAGGCACTGGATGGGCTACTCCTTATTTGTCTCCATGCTGAGCAAATTTCAGCTCCATCTTATCCAGGGATGAGGTATGTCAACCCGATGGAGAGTACCTAATGAGGCTGCTACACGTCAGAGCAGTGATGGTGAATCTTTTCGAGACTGAGTGCTCAAATTGCAACTCTAAACCCACTTACTCATCTCAAAGTGCCAACACTGCAATTAAACCTGAATACTGAAGTTTTAGTTTAGAAAAAACAACTGTTATCCAATGCTCAGTGGCTGGGCAACCTGGCTTATGTGCTGACTGAGAGGGCTCTGTGAGCCTGCTGTGGCACACATGCCATAGGTTCACCACCACCGTCACAGAGGATCCCTCTCAACACCACTTCCCATTTCTGGTTAGAGGGAGCTGGTGGTTCTTATCTTTGTGCTTTTATGTACAAGCACTCATTTTCCAGGGACTGGGAGGCTCTACCTGCTGGAAGGGGGAGAAAACTCCTTAGGCTACAGAAGTTTCTAGACAGGGAGGGAGAGAAAAAGGAGGAAAAAAAAGATGAACTATGTTTCAGAGGGCAAGGGGTTGGGAGTAACTATGCTTCAGAGGGCAAAGGGTCGAGGGATGCTAGGAAGACAACATGAAAAGCCTTTAGGCTGGACTTCTCAAAGTTGAGGTCCCAAGGCCTCTTTTTATCTTCTGCCCCTGGGTCACCAAGAGAAAATGTCACTGGGCTGGGACTGAGAGGTTGCTGATGCTAAAATAAGGAAATTAACCCACCCTAAACATACTGTAGAATGTTTGGAGGTTCATTGACTTCTGTGTGGAAAAGAATTTTCAGGATGCATCAGTAAGGACTCACTCAAGAGGGGAGTGTGGGTACTCAGCGAAATGAGGCTAAAAAGTTTCTGTATAGCAAAGAAACCAATCAATAAGGTGAAAAGACAGCCCAAAGGTTGGGAGAAAATATTTGCAAATAATATATCAGATAAAGGATCAATACCCAAAATATGCAATGAACTCTTACAGCTCAATTGTGAAAAAACCCAGATAACCAAATTAGCACTGGGAAAATGTTTTATGTACATTGTTTATTTGATTGTTTTTTTCAGGTTGATCTTGAACTCAGTATGTAGTCCAGGCTGGCCTCAAACTCATGAGGATCCTTCTGTCTCAGCCTCCTGAGTGCTGATATTACAGGAGTGCACCACCACACCCAGCCTGGTATAGACACTTCTGCAAAGAAGACAACGTACACAAATGGCCAATAGGTATATGAAAAGATTCTCAACATCACTTATAAGGAAATTTAAATCAAAATCACAATGAGATATCCCTCACACCTGTTAGGATGGCTACTATCAAACAAAACAAAAATGAAAACAAAAGATAACAAATGTTGGCAAAGATATGGAGAAACTGGAACCTTCATATGTTTGTAGGAATGCAAAATGGTGAAGTATGGAAACAGTATGGTAGTGTCTCAAAAAAAAATGCAACTACTATATGAACTACCAATCCCAATTCTGGGTATATAGTCAAAAGAATTGAAATCAGGATCTTAGAGAGATAATATGCATTCCTATGTTCATTGCAGCATTATTACCAATAGCTAAGATATGGAGACAATCTAAATGTCCATTGATGAATGAATGGATAAAGCAAATATGTTGTGTAAATACAGTGCACTATTTATTGTTCGGCCTTTAAGAAGAAAGAAATCCTACAACATGGATAAACCGGGGGGGGGGGGCACTATGCTAGGTGAAATAAGCCAGTATCAAAAGGACATATACTACATGATTCCATTTATTTATATAAGGAATCTAAAATAGTCAAAACTGATTGAAATAGATACTAGGGTGGTTATGGGCAGGGGGTAGAGTGGGAGAAAAATAGGGATTTACTTTTCAGTGAGCATAAAATTTCAGTTAGCCAAGCATGGTAGCTCACTCCTGTAATCTCAACATTTGGGAGGCTGAAGCAAGAGGATTGCTAAAAGTTTGAGACCAGCCTGGCTACACAGTGAGTTGAAGGCCAGCCTGAACTATATAGTGAGATCTTGTCTCAATAAAACAAAAAACTTCAGTTAATGAATTTATTTATTTATATTTGAGACAGAATCTCACTGTGTAGCCCTGGCTGGCCTTGAACTCACTATGTAGCCTCGAACTCTTGGCAATCCGCCTGCCTCAGCCTCTCTAGTGCTGGGATTATGTGTGTGCCACCATGCCCAGCTAATGAAATGATTTAGAGATCTGCTGTATAATGCTGTGCTAATGATTAACAATGCTGTATTGTGCACTTAAATACTTGACAGGGCACAACTCATGTAAACTGTTCTTACCATAATAAAATGAACCACACATAATTTATTGAGGATAATTACAACAGAAGAAATATGGGTTAGTAGTAAGAGTAGTAGATGGAGAAGATTTGAGAGGCTTCCAGATGTAATTCTGCTACTAACTGGTTTTCTAAAATTTTCAGTCATTTCTCCACTTGTGAAGATGGAACTGGATTACAGCTGGTTGACAGATTGTGTTACCTTTAGCTTTAGTAGTCTCTGAGGTTACATACGAAACCACATTTACACAATGCCCCATTTCTTCCAATCTTTCTAAGTCCATTTCACAGTTCATCTCTAACAAGATCTACTCTCTTTATAGTTTTTTAGCTACTATTCTACATTCCTCCATAATCTTATGCCAATCTTTTGCCAGTCTCTCCAATCAGCACACTTCTAGGCTGTCCTCACAACCCACTGAATATATTGTTTTATACTTGGGCTGCATAGAGCAGAAGTGTAATTAGCAGGATGGACTCTGCTTATATCTAAGGGGTTTGTTTTGGTTCATACGGAATCCAGCCCAACTGAATGTGTTTTCCCAAGAATGGCTGCTTTGTTCCTAATTTCTTTTCCCCCAGCTCTCTGTTTAATAACTATTTCAGTCTTACAACAGTGAGCAAAGCAAACAAGACTTTAGTTGAGCCCTTAACTTTTCAGGTGATTTTAGTATTTTTTTCTACATTTAATTTGTAGAATTCACAGAAGTTACAGTAAAATTCAGAAGAAGGTAAAGAAATTGAGGAAAGCAAGCTATAGGCCCAGTAGAGGCTGAGCAAGAAGGCCAGGTTTTTCATGCTTTCCAGATGAAGTACAAATCTAAATTTTAAAGTGAAGTCTGACTTATTAAATTTTGGCATCTAATAAAAATATTTTTTGAAAACTACCAAACACGTGGGCCAAATGACACATTTTTTGCTGGTGAAATCTGGCTCTTGATCCTTCCGTTTAGGACCTCTGTGGACCTAGGATAACTGGTAGGGATGAATATTTCCATTTTATGAATACTATTATATACCTACACTGGGTAGGTGTCCTGCATGAAGCATTTTCTAAGTTCTTTTATCTCTCATTTATTCAATATTTAGTTTATGCTTCTTTCAACATTTTTATTCAATTACCTTTCTTTATTTTCTATTCCTAATAAGTGCATGATCTAAAAGGTAGAACAAGATGAAAACTGAAATATTGAAGTAAAAATTACCTCTGTCAGTCTTGTATGTGTCTCAGAGCATTTTGGTCAATTCCTGGTTTGTTCCAGGGCTAAAAGAACGAAAATCATCTCAGACTGGGGAAACAAAAAAAAAAAAGCAGCTGTGCTGGGAGGACAGATAAAGACAGCTACAAAGTTAACAGGGAAATCTTTTCCCTATCACCACGAAACAGCTATAAAATGCCCTAACTACTTCTTTCTGAATGATTTTGCTTCTCACCAATGAGTCCCAGGTCCACTATGTAATTTTCATTTATTACTGCAGGTACTCAATTACTAAATAGCTCTAGCCCCATGATAACATTCTTATTCCCCAGTTTTTCTCATCCCACCTCAGAAACGATGTCTAATCCAGAACCGAGTGCCCTTTCCCAGCACCCCTCTCAGGCTCCTTTGGCGGGAACCTTAACCTTACAAAGGAGATTTCTTCCTTTTTTCTTCCCTTCCTCTGGAGTGCCTTTCCTCCTGATCTACAAATAAAAGTGATTTTGTTGGACTGGGTTTCTACCGGATGGCCTTTGGCTGATTTGCCTTTAACATAAGTCAGGTTAGTGTGACGACCTCCACTCCATCAAGTTTCATGATCTCCGCCAAATCTTCGCCTGAGCGGTTTAGGTTTACAATTATTAATAGTTAAAATCAAATGCCTTCTAAAATTGTTCTATCAGCCTATTTCTAGTAAGCAACCTCCCCTTACCTCCCACTCCTACAGCTCTAATATCCTTTTAAAAATGGCTTTAGTCATTTTAGCTGGGTCGCACTTTTTAAGAGAATCTGGTGTAAATGACTTCAGATCCGAATTCCGGGGTTATATGGAAATGGAGCAGGTGTGTGTGTGTGTTCGCGCGCGCACGCCTCCTGCGAGACTAACTAACTCATGACCAACGAGGTCCTGTCATGATCACTTTGAAAAAGCTTCTCTCCACGAGGAAGCCCCAAGTTTTATCCGTGTGTTTCCGAGAGACTCTTGGAGGTATAGATTGGGAGGTGACCTTTTTCAGGTGTGGAAAAAAGGTATCTGTTTTCAGTGTGAGACCAAGATGAACCTAAAAAATGCCATCTTGGCCTGAAGATGAACTCCCCTCATACCCCTCCTCTTACAGTGTGCATTCTTGTAACTGTTTTTGTTTTTGTAAACTTGCTTCATCGCTTCTTGGAAAGGGATGGTGCCTGGTGCCTCCCTTTACTGTGAACTGCCCTAACCTGACAAGGCAGCAAGATAGCTGAGTGGTGAAAAATGTTTTGTAACTGAGTAAGAAAACACGTAGACCGCCCCCCGCCCTTGAACTTCTTTAAATAACCATCCATAAAAGCTGTGCTATTCCCGAACTCGGCGCTTCACTCTACTAGAGGGTGGAGTCCACGCCCGTAAATAAACTCCTTTCAGTTTTAATTTTGTCGTTTGTCCCAGTGTTTGGTGATTTACCGGCTCGCTTGGTACAACATTCTGCCTCCAGGAGTAAAGCGAGCAGAGATTCTAGCCTGAGTCCAAAAGCTTCTTTCCAGGTTGCGGAGATGGCTCAGCCCGGGTCTCTGAGGAGGGGTCCTGGATCAGGAGAGCGGGTCACGCTCGGACACTTGGTCTTCATTCGCGCGCCGCCGTTGGTTTCTCGAGCGAACCTATCAGTGGTCGCGCCGCCTTCCCGGGGGTCAGAGGTGCACACTTACCTCGGGTGGACCCGCCCCCGCCACGGCGCCCACGCCCAGAGCCGTTCGCTGCCCCGGCGCAGTGCTGCAGAGCGCGCTCCTGTCCGCTCCGGCCCGCGCACGCGCGCAGTGACCTGCGCGCTCCCGGGGGGAGGGGGCCGCGGGGGCGTCCCGGGGCCGGAGAGGGAGGAGGCGGCGGCCGCGTCGTCTCCGGCTGGGCTCGCGCTCGCCCACGCGCTCACCCTCCGCCCTGCCGGAGTTCTGCGAAGGGGAAACGCTTTCTCCCGGCATGCAGCGGGAGGAGGGATTTAACACCAAGATGGCGGACGGCCCGGATGAGTACGAGACCGAAGCGGGCTGCGTGCCCCTACTCCATCCTGAGGTGAGGGATGGCGCTGATCTCATTCTTCGCCTGGCGGCCCCCGACCTTTCTCCTCCAGACTCGCCGAGGGTGGTAGCCGACGTGTGGAGTGGGACGCGCTGAACTTGGGGAGGCTGGGGAAGCGAATCCAGGCCCCAGCGCGTCTGCGAGAGGATAACGGGGGAGGAGATAGCGGGGCGGGCCTGGCAGGGGCGGGCTCTGGGATGCTTTCCCTGCTGGTGCCTGGAGGACAGAGGTGGGGATGTTTAGGGCGTTGCTGTGTCGCCTAGATGTCTGTGGGTGCAGAGGCGACGGGGGCCTGTTACTGCTTGGGAACCTCTTCTTAAGCCCGTAGTCTTGCTCCGAGCCTGGGAGCGCGAGGGGGCGAGGAGGAGGCGCGTCAGGTTTTGATTTTTCTTTTCTTCGGCACGGCGAGCGACACAATTCCTTGCATTTAGTTCACTGTGGTGGGACAGTTACTTGGGTAAAGTGATGTCCTTCCAGGTTTTGCCATATGCAGCACCTCGGGACACCTTGTGTCGGTTGCCCGTATTTGAGCATTTGTCCTTAAGCGGTTAAAAAGACAGGTCAGAACTTTTGGAAATAGTCCCACACTCACAGTACCACTCAAATGCCGCTTTTTTAGGAGCCAGAGGAAGACAGTGCAACATGTTTCTCATTACAATGTGAGTGTCTTCCCATGTAAGTAAACAGTTCTCTGCTCCAGGATCACATTTACATTCTGTACTTACCTCAGTTTGTAGCAGAGCTAGTGGTATGCTTAATTAAGGCCTGGAAGCAGTTGTTTATACCACCTTCTTCTTCCTCCTCCTCCTCCTCCTCCTCCTCTTCTTCTTCTTCTTTTTTTTTTTACTGATTCTAAGTGATGTATGGGGAGGAGCGGCACAGCTTCCTGAAGATCTTGAGGGATGAAAACAAATCAGTGTCTTCATTATAGGGTACATAAACATGGAAGTCTTCTACCTGGTTGCTTTGCATTAGGACGATTCTATGTCTGCATTTTGTACTGTGCTCCGACTTTTGAGTAAAATGTGTATACCAGCAATCACCCTTTTATGCTATATGTTGATATTCAACAACCCTCTCGTTTATCAACTTTATCAAAACCAGATGTGATAGTTATTTAGGAGTATATACCTGGGCCAGTCTCAGAAAAGATGACTTTGGATTTCTGACAGAACTGTGCAGTAAGACTAAACAGGTTTTTTTTTTTTTTTTTTTTTGGTACCCGGGATCGAACTGCGGACCTTGTGCATACGAGGCAGGCGTCGGAACCACTGAGCTATATCCCCTGCTCAGACTAAACATTTTTTTGACCGAAGTGGTAACATTTTTCAAAACTGGTTTTGGAGAGACATCTCTTCATGTTTATATCTAGGTTCTAAATATATGTCATAGACAAAGTAGTTTTCAGATGATGCCTTGAAAATATTTCTAAGGAATTTTTCTTTTCATTTGTTCCTGTGGATGTTTTCAAGTACTTAAATGTTATTCTATATATTCCAATATTCTCTTCTTAAATCTTTACTTAGTAAAGTAGTTGTTTTTACTACTTTATCGGTAATTTCAACTATTGCTTAGTAGAATGGCCCGTAGGTTTGAAGTTTGGAGAACAATCTTCAGATTACCAAGTAATAATAGGCCATAAGTAGAAAATAAACTTCCTCATCATTAAAAGTGACAGTTGGTAAAAATTATATTTACCATTCTTTTTTACCCAGCAAGCACAGGTCTAATTAAATGTTTTAGATCTTAAGCTCATAATTATGGACTGAAGTCTCTATTTTTTTCTGTGGTTAGTATCTTGCGTCAGTTACAGAGTGGTATTATAGTCTGCTGCCTCCAAGCAGTAGTTTTTGGGCATGCTACTTTTGAATTCTAGTTTCACATTTATGATAATAGTATCGTGATAATGCTTAATGGGCAATTGAGAAGACTAAATGTGATAATGTATTTTTGTTGTTAAAATAGTGTTTTCAGTCTCCCTTGGAAGAGACCCATTCTCTGTCTTGGTGAGCAGTGGATAATAGTACTTTTAACTCCTTTTGGAGAGAACATAGGCTTTGGGTCCAACAGGCATGGGTTTTAATTCTGAGTTTTTAGTGACTAAATGACCTGAAATGGGAACTTAATTTCTTTAAGTTTCAGTTTGTTCATCAGAAAATAGAGATGTTATCTAACTTACTTGGCTGTAAGGGATTAGTTGAAACTATATATTGAGGTTCAAGAAAAGGCACATTGTAGATGCTCGGTTAATGTTGTTTCTTTTCCTTCTACCTGAAAAAGGAAGGAAATGTTACACATTTATTTTGGATTTGGTGAGTGATTTAGAAACTTATGTGGATTTTAATTTAGTAGAATAGTATTGTGCAGGAACATTTTATTTTATTTTTTTATCTTCAGATTTAACTGTCACATAGTTCCTCACTTGTTGAACAGATCAGTCATTTGTGGGATAAAGAAATTAGCCATTGCTTAAATTTCTTGTTAGTATGCAAACTGCCTACTGTTAAAACCTTTGTTAGAGGATTATGCAGTTAGATGAAAAATGAAATCTTTTTAGAAGTACAGTAAGTGTTTGGGATAAGAGAACCTTAGTTTTTAATGAATTAAATAATCCATGTAATGAGTCATGTAAACATTTGTTTATCACAAGAGACATTATAGGATACTGGTTAGGAGCCAAGTTTTTTCTGGTAACAAACTGAGAATCTGGTTTTTGCCGCTTATAATCATCATGGTAAAATTACATTTTCTTCATTTGTCTAATTGGGTTAATATTACCTACTCTTTAGAGTTATTGTGACTGTGAAGTAGCATAATATTTAAATAGCCATTGCAGACCTAGCCCATCAAGCAAATTGTACCATGCAAATACCCTGGAATATACAGTACTGAATACTGAAAGGGAAGTTGCTGTTAGTTTGCTTTCTGTTGATTGTTCATTTTATCATAATGGAAGAGTTAAATGCTATTTAGAAAAAGATAACCTGGTTATCAGGGAATGACAGTGCTGGTCCTAGTTCAGTGACCTTGGGCTAGTTGATATTTAACTGCTCCTACTTTCTTATCAGACAAAGTGGTTAGACTACATGATCCCTAAAATTTCTTTGAATTCTAATGTTCTGATTATAAGTTGTGATTTTTCAAGATAACCAACTTGAACATTTAACTATGGGATATATAGCATTGTTTTATATGAGTTAAAATAAAACAGAAGTGTATGGTTTTCAAAAGGCAGAGATCTAGCTGGGAGCATATATGCACATAAACACTCAGCAGAATCCAAGTAAGTGCTTCGTGGAGTAGTGTAGCTTGTAAGCAATGTCAGATTCCTGACACTTAGGATGGTGAGAAGAAAAAGCTTAATAGAGGGACAGAGCCCATACGTTGGTCTGCAGTCCCTCAGACTTGCATCACCAGTCTTCTTTTTTACCTGCTGGTACTTCCTCAGTAAATCCTCTCAGCTCTTTGTTTGAATGAGATCACAGTACCCTTTTCTGCCAGAGTATTGTAGGAGCTCTGTATTTCAGAAAGGTCTGACTCATAGCTTTGAACTGAATTGCCTAGATTATCTAGGGCTTTCATCTCTTGCTCTCTTCCTTTTTTCCTTTCAATTTCAAAACTTCTAAATCTTTTTTCTACTTTCTCCTTTTTTGTTTTAGATGATAACACTTTATATATCACATCTTTTATGCATTGTTGGTATTAATATTAAATATTAAAACAAGTATTGCTACATCTACTCTTCACAGATTTCATAAAGTACTTTTCAAGGCTTCTAAATCTTTAGTGATAGTGATTCCCTCCACCCCCTTTTTCTTGAGACAAGGTTTTGCTTTGTAGTTCAGGCTGGCCTGGAACTCACTGTGTAGCCCACGCTGGACTTGAACTCCTGGCGATCTTCCTGCCTTAGCCTTCTCAGTGCTGGAATTAGAGATGTGTGCCACCATGCCTGGCAATTTTTGCTTTTTCCACTACTATTTTTTGCTCACTTTCTTTTTTTTTGGTACTGGGGATCAAACTCAGGACCTTGTGCTTGTGAGGCAGGCGGTGGCACCACTGAGCCAAATCTCTGGCCCTTTTGCTCACTTTCTTTCAGAAAGCAGATAAAATTTCTTAGAAAGTTTTTTCTTCTAACAATATACTGGCAACTCTTTTCCTTCAAAGCACATTTCTTTGGCATATTTAGTACATGATGCTCCCCTTAAAAAAAAATCCAACAAAAATGCTATAGGTCATCTGTTTAGATTTAAAAATGTTATCTCTTAATCATGGTAACCACTGAGTCACTATATGTAAAATTAAATGGTACTAAATTGGTGCAAACCTAAAGTTGACAATTACGTATAAAACAAAAAAATTTTACTTGGTTTGAGAAATGGCATTTTTCTGTTTTGGGGGCCCCCTCTCATTTTAATTTAATTTAAGTGTTAAGGGTGGACTGTGGAGTGAGTGAACATAGGAACTTGCAGGTTAGCTAGGCATGGTGGTATGCATCTATAATTGCCAGCATTCTGGGAAACTTGAGGCAGGATTGCAAATTTGAGCTTAGCCTGGGCAGTTTTGTGATTTAGCAAGACCTTGTCCAAAAAAGAAAAAAAAAAAAAGGCTGGGAATTTAGCCCAGTGCAAAGGCTTTGGGTTCGATCCCAGCACTTCAAAAAACCAAACCCAACAAATAGGTTAAAAGTATGAGCAATGACGCTAGGATGCCTGGATTCAAATTCTAGTTCTGTAACTTACTGCACCTGTGATCCTGGGAAAGTTACTGAATTCTGTGTCCTAGTTTTCCAGATCAGAATGGGTATATAAAAGTATCTACTTTGCCAAGTAATTATAAAGGTTAAATAAGATAATATACATTATGTGTCCAGCAGTTGATATATACAATAAATGTTAGCTTTTAATGTTGTGATACCAAGTTAGTTAAAGTCTCAAATTGGTAAATCAAACAATAGTATAAAAATAATATACTGTATATTGGAGACAACTAACTGAATGACTAGTGTAATATTGGTTGTCTCTGGGGATTGAGGAGAGTATGGACAGAGAACATTTTATTATACTTTTTGTACAATTTGATCTTAAAGATGTGTGCTTTGATATGGAGTGTTTGTTGAGCATGTAAGTATGGTCTTTGACTCTTTTCATCGCTGCAAAATAATGAGATTTACAAAATAACACGTTGTAAAATAGCAGAAAATTGTGTGCTTTCAGATACCTCAGGATACAGGAGGGTGAGTGTATGTGTTTGTGTGTATTTTTTTTTTTTTTTTTTGGTACCGGGTAGCGAACTCGAGTCCTTGCGCTTGCGCAGCAGGCGGCCAAACCACTGAGCTAAATCCCCGGCCCAACTCATTTTTAATTAAAACAAAAATACACACAAATGGGGCCAGGGATTTAGCTCAGTGGTTCTGCTGCCGCCTGCTGCGCAAGCGCAAGGACCTGAGTTCGATCCCTGGTACCAAAAAACAAAACAAAACAAAACAAAATTGAGTTGTAGTCCTCCTTTTCTATCCTAAAAGTAAGGAGTATGATCTAAATAATATGGTGAAAGTTTAAATTAAAAAAATTTATTACAGTGAAAGACATTGCCATTAATCTGCCACAAAATACTCTCCTTCACTTCAAATGCACTTATCCCATCATTCTTTCCGCTTTCTGAAGTACTTCTGAAAGTTTTTAATTGTACTGTCATGGCTGTATCAATGTCCTGAATCAGTTCATATTATTTACTTTTCATGTTCATTTTGACTTTGGAGAAGAGCCAGAAGTCACACTGTTGCCAGATTGGGTGAATAAGGTGGATAAAGACACTATAATGTTTCTACAAGCCTGCTGTTGGATGAGACTTGGCAGCAGCATTCACTGTATTTTTAAGTCATACCTCATAAAGACATGCATGAGAGAGGACTTCCAGATCTACTTTTGAAATTGGTAAGAATGATGAATTAAGTGTGTTTGAAGCAAGGGCTGGGGATGATTTTGAGAGGGATTAATGGCCTGTGTCTTTTACTGTAATTTAAAAAATTTAATCATTCACTGGATATTTTGATACTTTGTATATTAAGGTAGTCAAGGTTAAGCAGTTAAAGGTGTTTGATCTAGGCTGAGCTGGAACTTGGGACTCAGACTCCCAGAGTTCTGGGATTGTAGGTGTGCACCACTATGTCCTGCTAAGTTAAGGGGTCTTAAAATGTAGTATGCTTTTAACAGAACTGCCAACCATTACATAATCCAAAAAGGTATTTCACTGTCAAGGATATATAAAATTCTCATTATATTATTTTGTGATTAGATTTTTTTTTACAGATAACTTAAAGAGGGAAATATCAAATATTTCAACGTTGGAGTTTGAAAAATTATCAAGGCAATATTTATAAAATACACAAAATTTTCACCCAATGGAATATTTGTCTAGACCTAGGATAATATTTTCTTTGAGGTTTTTCTTAAAATAGAGCTGCAAGTAGCTAATTTGAAAGTCTGGTGAAATTTCAGCCTTCTATGAAGGGAGTACTTATTTCTTGGTTTATAAAGGGTTAAATAATACTTTTTTTGTGTTGAAATTTGCCAAAATGAATTACTGTTTTTCCAGAGTTAGTGCCTACAAATGTAATGTATGTATGTGTGTATGTATGTATACAGATGTATGTCTTTTGTTTGATAAGTCAGAGTGCTGATTTGTCTTAGGATCACCTTTCTGACAGTCACTGAAATTGTTGAAGGTGATAGGACGAAATGCGTGAAGCATTTTTTGTTTATGTCAAATGGCTTGTGTATTTATCATTTGTTTTATTCTTTGAAAAATTATGTGGAAAATAAATTCTTACTGAGTTTTTACTATACTATACTGTGGTTTAACTTTTAAGAATAATTTCCTGATTTGAATACTTGTTAGTTTATGAAAGATTAAATGGGGGGTGAACAAAACTAGTATGACTATCTCTGTTTCCATGGAAAAAGTAAGTCCTTTGAGTTGAATGCAGAAGTTGCAAATTAATGTTAGAATCCTCTGGTTGTGAATGTCATCAATCCTCTTCAAACTTACTCGAGTAAAATAGAGAATTCTTTCAGATAGCCCAAACTCAAGATGGCAGGGGTACGGTTGGACTGAACAACAACTGGAACCTGAGATGAGACCACTCCTGAGACTTTCATCTCTTGTCTCTCTGTTCCTTTTTCCTTTAACTTCATTTCTTTCTAATAGAGAGCAACTTTCTTCTGTGTGGTGAGGACAAGGATGACAGCTTTTTAAGTTTTTATTTTATGGCCATGTGTCTCCAATCTAACCATAAGAGAGGGACTGGATATCTTCCTTCTTTCCACACTGAAAAGTGGCATTCAGTGGTCCTGAGTTAGTTTATATGCCTAAGCTTATGACCCTTAGGCATTGTAATTGGCTAAGATCACTTGGTTAGAGCTGGGGAGGGAACAGTTTTCCTTCCTTGAAGGAGTTGGGCAGACAGAACTGTTTTTGTCTTCTATACTCTTTATTTGCTTTGTTTGTGGCCTTCTAATTTTTCTAACACATATTTTAAGAGCTAATTACAGTCCATTGAACTTATTCTTCACAATAAATGTTCTAATTGAACTAATGAATAACATTCTTTATAACATTATAGACCAGGATTTGGATAATTTTTTTGGTACAAGGCCAGATAGTAAATATTTTTAAGTTTATGAGCCATATGGTTTCCATAACACTATTCAGATGCGGTGTTATATAAAAACCATAAACAGTATGAAGATGAATAGGCAAGCGCTTGTTCTTATAAAACATTGTTCATAAAATCAGGTGATGGGCCACGGTTTGCCAACTTCTAATCTAGACAGTATATAGAATCCCAAAGAAATTTGTGTGAAAATACTTCAACACATCAAATTCTGTTAATCTGAGGTATATAATAACTTCATCAGAACTGGATTTATGTGGGAGATGGGTTGGATGAAGAATATATGTGTATATACATTAGAATATTGTGGGGAGCTTTGTCAAGAATACAGATGCTTCTGTAGTTAATACCTCAAAATTTCTAATGTAATATGTATATTTATGGTATATTTTGAAAAGGTTTTAAAGTGGTTCTGATAAAAATTTCTACATTTTATTCCCCACTCTATACTACTTTGATATGTGGGAAAAATGTATTACAGGAGGGAGAAGGGAGCTAATTTAATGGTTAATATATGAGCTGTACCGTGTCCTCAGTGTGATAGATAATAAAAGTAATAATTGATCACATGATTATAAACTAGGCACCACCCTTAACCCTTTTGCATATATTCATTCATTTCATTCTCACAGCTTTGTATATCTATTTTACAAAGGAGAATTGAAACAGGGGTCAAAGTAACTTGACCTAGAAAGTAGGAGAAACTTGGCTAGAAAGTAGCAGAACTATATTTAAATCCAGATGGTTCCTGTTTTTATAGCACAGTACAATGTGGTAGAGATGATAAAGAGTTGATAATTATTTGCTAGACACTGGCTAGCTGTGGTTGCAAATGTCCTCATTATATTGTTTTGAATTTTTTAGTAGACATATTTTTTGAGCTATTTTAAAATTGATAGGAAAATTGAGGAGAAAGTAGAGAGAATTCCCATATACCCCTTATCTCTACAACTACATAATCTTCCTCACTGTCAGTGACCAGCAAGAGTGGTACATTTGTTATGATAGATCAACCTACCTTTAAGCATCATTTATCACTCAAAGTCCCTACTTTACCTTATGGCTCTTGGTGTATTACATTCTGTAGGTTTTAACAAATGTATAATATCTGTCTACCATTATAAAAGATTCCTTACTTAAAATTTTTCTACGTACCATGGTGCAAAAGCCTGGGGCAGCAATAGGTGGAATACTCTTTTGTGATGCTGTGTAGTGGCAGTGAACCACAGTTCCAGTCAATTATGTAGTCACAAGGTAAACAACTAATTCTTTAGCTTAGGTGTTTTAAATGCACCTAAGGTATTTTTTTTTTTTGGTACCGGGGATTGAACTCAGGTCCTTGAGCTTGCGTAGCAGGCAGCGAAACCACTGAGCTAAATCCCCAAAACCACTGAGCTAAATCCCCGGCACCTGAGGTATTTTTGACTTAGGATAGATTTATTGGGGCTTAATCCCTTTATAAGTTGAAGAGTATATATATATTGTCATGTAGAATAGTTTTACTGAAGTAAAAATCCAATGCTCTTCCTTTTTATCCGTTACTCTTCCTTAGCTTTGTGTAACCATTGACATTTTTACTGTCTTCATTGTTTTGCCTTTTCCAGAATGTCATATAATGAAATCATACATTGTGTTGCTTTCCAAAATTGGCTTCTTTGAATTCATTTCAAGTTTCTTCATGTTCTTCCGTGGGTTGATAGCATGTTTCTTTTTAGCATTGAGTAATATTTCATTGTCTGTATGTACCACAGTTTATATGAGCATTCATCTCTACTGAAGGATATCTTGGGTGCTTCCAGATTTGCTCATTTATTTTTCACTATAGTTACGCAAAGTACACATTGAACCATTTACAGATTAAGAAACAGAGTAAAGGGGTAAAAAATTTATTCAGATTCAAAGCGCTAGTTGGCAGAATTTATTTTAGAACCTAAACACTCTAACTCACAAATCCATAATCCTCTCCAATATACATTAATAGGTCCAAGCACAATTTCTTTACTACACAGTAGAAAAACTATCAGTTACTATCAATTCTTACTTGATAGTAAAGGAGCTAAGGGAGTATTCATTTTTGACATTTATTCTAAGGCATTTCTTTGAGTAACCCTTTGAGTTGAAATAATGAAACTATATTTCCTTAAACATTGTTTTTTCACAATTTTTCTTTTGTTCAGCTCATTTTTCCTACCTTATGTACATTAATAAGGTAAAATATATTTTCATTAGTTCTTTGAAAGGAGATAACTTCCATTGGAATAACCTGTTGTAGATGGGATTGGAAGTATTTTCAGTGTTGAATCTATGGCAATAGTTGATAAGAGCGCAGGTGGTGCTGGTTTAACTTACTGGTGACTCACAAGGGTTTAACCATTTTTGGAAAGTCCCACTGTCATTTGTATTAGTTGTAAATCTAAAGATTTGTTGCTGAACTACATTCTCCTACTTAATAGAATGTTTTGGGTACATTTCGAGGAGAAAGATGTAGTTCAAATGCCACAGCCGCCTGTTAGTAACAATATGACCTTGGGCAATTTACTTCACCTCTGGTTGTCTCAGTTTTCTTACCTGAAGAATGGTACAACAGCACCTACCTCTTTAGGATCCTTGTGAGAGTAAATGCATTTATGTGGCATATGCTGTAGATTTTAACATGTATTAATTTTACATATTCAGTCTCTGAAATTGGGATTTGTTTCATTGTTTATAGTATCTCTTTGTTGGGAGCAATGCTACATAATTCTAGGGAAAAATCATTTGAGTAGGCCTAGTTCTCCTGCCTACAGGCCAGCTATGGCATTCCAGACATAATTGCATTTTTGCCTCGGGTCACCACTGAGACCTCAGTGATCCCGTGATGCTGTAATGCTCCAGGACAAGACCACATCTGTAGGAGACACCTTGGGAGGAACCAAATCTTCATCTGCATAGTTCCTCATTGTTCTTAGATTTCCACTGCCCCCCAGTCTTTTGTTACACCTTGTTTATCCCAGTGTGAAGTACTGAACTCTACATATTCATTTGTTACACTTGTTTCTCCTGATGTACTGAATAAAAGGTGCTGCAAGCTAGGGGTCTTTGTCTTTGCTGCCCAGAGCAGCACTGATCAGACCCAAAGCTCAGCTGCTTCTCAGTCTCATTTTTCTACCTTTCCTGTAATTCTCCCTGTGCTGCCGGGGCTCACAGGAGACTAGGACTCACTGCAGAGGCTCTGGTAACGTCCCCTTCCCCTGTTCCCTACATCTCTTGGTTTGGCTGAGGAGCAGCAGTGATTTGATTAGTTGCCATTATATGGGCATGGGCCATCTTTGTGGGTTTTGTTTTTTTTTAATGGTAGCATAGTTCTTTACTTACAGGCCTCCCATTTGAATCCTCAGTCTGATTAAGGAACAGTTGAAAAAGTATAGTTCTCCATTATTTTCTGAAAACTGGATAAATTCTGGTAAGATCAAGGAAATGCTAACATCAAATGTATGTTAATAGTTTGGAAAGAACTCTCAGAGATGAAAGTGATAAATTGTTTTAGGAAATGGTGTATCCCAGTGTTTTGGGTGGCTCTTAAACAGTATAGGATTGACAACTCTAGGTTGAACAGTACTGTAATGCAGAAGAGGCCAGCCTTGAATATGAAGTTTTAGCAATACAATAACCAGTTTATTTTGTTTTTCTCCTTTTGATATATCCAAAACAATGGTAAATAATAAAAATCTGTCTAAATAAGTCTATAGAAAGATTTTAATTAGTATAAATAGCCCTCCAAGTGGTAAATAGTAATTCTAAGTGATAAGGAAGTATTGTAGTTCACTTGACAGTATTTTCATTCTTTATGATACACACAGTAATGATACTTCTTACACTCACTGTCTAGAATAGTACCTGGGAAATAGAACTAGCTGTTTATTTTATAATCTTTACATTTTTTTTCTGCAGTTAAGTCTTACAGAGAGCATGAATACCATTGTTAATCTTATTCTTACCTTGGAGATTTTATCTGTTCATGTACCTTCACTGAAATTGTAAATCTTCATAGTAAATATAATCATAAGTAAATTTGTAGATACTGATTTCTGTTGAAATTTTGCTCTCATTTTGAACACTCATAAATATCCAGGATCTCCCACATGCTTATGGAAAAAGTTAATTAACTTGATTTGGAAGTTCCCATTATTTCAACTTAATTTGTGTCCTTTTTCTTTCTTGTGGGACTTAAATGTAATTAAGTCCAAGAAAATGGCATATATGGCAAGTAAACAAATGGCAAACTAGAATCTAGCACTATGGCAGGCATAGCAAAACAAATATAAACTTAAACTTTCTGAACTATTGCCCTAAACATCTGATTTATCTTACATTATTGAATAGCATATGAATTTTCAAGGTACTAAAAATTTAAGCACCTGAATGCCTTTAGCTTTCAGAAAGTCCCACATTTCCCTGCCCTAAACAAACACATCTCTCATTCTTCAGGAGTGACCACTACTTTTGAGTATACAGAGAAATTTTCTGTGCAACTATAATTGCTTTATTTACATACACTTATTTCTTGTTTTTATTACATTCTAATACGTTGTGAAATTTGTATTTTTTTCTTTTTACAGTTTGGACACACATCTATCTTAGTACATAATGATCTTTCCTATTTTTGTAGTGTGAGGCCTGCATCGTGCAATATGGTAGCCAACAATGATAGAGTTATTTAATAACAAGTAATATAAAAATTCCATTTTCAGTCACACTGCCCACGTGTGTTTATTAGCTGTGTGTAATTAGTAGCTACTGTTTTGGACAGCACAGAATTACAGAACATGCAAAAGTTCTGTTGGACGACATGTCTATAAGGTCTAAAAACATTTTTATTTCTTTTTTTTTTGGTACCAGGGAACGAACTTGGAACCTTGCACTTGTGAGGCAGGTGGGGGAACTACTGAGCTAAATCCCCGGCCCTGCCCTTTATTTCATTTTTTAAAATTGCTTTTGAAGCATACTTAATTTAGGATAAATTGGACAAGTTTAACATGTTCAAATTGGTAACTTTTATTTAAACATTTTATTTTATAATAACTAGATTCATGTATAGTTGTCCAATAATACAGATAGATCCCACATACCCATTACCCAGTTTGTCTTGATGGTAACACCTTGCAAAATTGTGGTATGAATCCACAACCAGCAAACTGATAGTGAAAACAGTCAAGATGCAGAATGTTTCTGTCACGACAAGGATCATTTATATTATCCTCTAACAGCTGTATGTTTTTCTGTCCATCCCCCAACCTCTCATTAACTGGCACCCACTAATTTCTTACCCATTTCTTTAATTTTGTAATTTTAAGATTTAAGTGGAATCATGTAGTATATAATCATACAGGGTTGCCTTTTTTAAAATTCAGCATAATTCTCGAGATTTGTCAGGTTGTATATGTATCAGTAGTCCTTTTTATTACTGAATGTTATTCCAGGGTATGGATGTACCACAGTTTATTCACCTGTTGTAAGTTATCAGGGTTGTTTCCATGTTTTAAACATTTGTGTATATTGTTTGAGCATAAAATTTCATTTCTCTAGGATAAATTATCCAGAAGTACAGTTACTGGGTCATACATAACAGTAGTTGGTATTAACATTTGAAAGAAACTGCCAAAACTGTTTTCTAGGGTGGTATACATTTTACAGCCCAACCAGCAGTGTATGAGTGATCTGATCTCTGCACCCTCCCAGTACTGGTGTTGTCCTTTATTAGTTCTATTGTCTTGCTTCTTTCTAAATTTGATCATGAGGTTACTGTCCTGAGAATGGCCATAAAGCCAAGCAGACACTCTCTAGGTTAGCCCTGGTAGGGGGTTGAGGTGGGGAGGGGCTGGAGGTGGGGAGGGGGTGGAGGTGGGGAGTTAAGTTCAGGTGAAACAAGTGAGGAAATGAAAGAGAAATGCATGAAACAGAAGAAATGTATTACAGGTTCAGAGTGGTTAAGGGTGCCATTTGGAAGTAGAGCCGGGGGAGAGAGAAGTAAAGGGGATCTTTGGTATTATGACTTTATTAAGGCCCATGGGGTTTATACTGTTGGCATTCCTGCAAGGGGTTGTGGATTGGCTAGTTTAAAGCAAACACTTGTAAAAGGGTGAGCTTATTTATATGACACTGGTGTTGACCTTTAGAGTTACCACAGTTAGCAGCTGTGAGGTATGTTGGGTTTTTTTCCGGGGGATCAGTGAGATGAAGAACAAGCAGGCAATATTGCAAACTGTCACACAGGAAGGGTGAAGTTACGACATAGGGTATGACTATGTTTCAAGTAACATGTCAGACCTAAAAGTGG